ACGGAGTGAATGAGGTGATGAAGCAATAAGTTCAACAGGGAGATACTGCCACGTATTTTCAGTGGGTTTTTGCAGATTTCTTGGGGGACTTCTGTATTCGAGCTGCCTTTTGTTCTTGAATGAAAGGTTGTGTGCCATCTGGGAAATAGATTAGTATCTACAGTTGAATGAGATCATACCTTCCTGAAGGCACAAAACAACTTGGAGAGGTGAATTGGTCTTGATATAGTAATTTGCATAATGTGAAGCTTAATCCTGTATAATGCTGTGCCCTTGGAATCAAGGATGTTCAAGCCAAACATCCAAGCAAACCCTCGGTGCCTTTCAGTGAAAGGTGTTCTCTATGAAGAGGGATTTTCATGAAAAGTGCATTTTTTTTTAACTCCTTTAGCCTCTGAATATGGAACCTCAGTCTTTTAACCTGCACTGACTTTTCTGCACAGAGAGAGATTAACCTTTTGAAAGGGAAAGGAGAAGGGATACAAGAATTTGTATGAAAGACTACCACATGCACAGAGCCTAAAAATGTGTAAGAAGCAGCGCCTATATCAGTATTAGTACAGTTTACAGAACAGTGTTTGTCAGTAAAGAATGCTATTTTCCAAAATGGAGCTATTTTTTGCAGGTTGTGTCCAGATTACTGAGATGCCTCTGGTGTAAACTTCAACATAGAACTTGTTCTTTCAACGTAATGTTCTCTCTTCATATCTGTTACACTGCTCTTTAAATACATAATTCAGAATATTGGGGGAGAAGCTGGACAGAATCACATAACAAATTAATCCTCACCCAGATTCCCTCATGTTGTTGCATGTGACAAACTGTACAGCTGAGGGTTGTGGTGCGAATCTGCTAACACCATTTTTTAGAGACGCAATCCTCAAATAGTGAACAAGAGTCAATCTTGTTTCAGTTGTTTACCTGTTCCCTTCATTCTGTTGGATCAGGGCTACTCTGCTTAACTTGAGGAAGCAGTCAAAACCTTCAGTCTTATATTGATCTGCATTTTGCAGAATACAGATTAAAAGAAATTGTTGTAATCATCTGGTCTTAAAATTTACAACTATGCTGATAGGTGGTTTCATACAAGGAAAGAGGGGATAACTGCACTCCAGTTACAGCAGGTTTAACTTTCTAGAGATAAAGCCTTAACGTAAAGTGGGATTCTGAAAGTAACAACACTCTGGCAGGGCAAATGACTTAAGGAGCTTCTTGAGCACTATATCACATGTATCAAAGAGATATTTTCAACATAATCTGCAGCAATCACGAAAGGGGGTGCTAGATTATTCGTAGGGGAAAAAAATCCCTCCTTCTCTCTTCATGAACTCTTTCTTTTCAACAATATGGCCAAAGTGAAAGGTCATTCACAGATCCTAGAGAAAAGTTAGCATCTGTTCTCATGAGAAGAACATGCCATAGCTGTTGTCCTGCTGGAGACAAATCACAAAGTGTTTGTATACCTGTCGGCTGGTAAAGACAGGAGACAGTCTCCTTTAAAAAGGCAGTTTGAGAGGCAGGGTGTTAACTTGCAGAAATAAGGTGCAGGCTGATCTCGCGTGGATGCAACAGGACTGCAGGACAGCAGGACATAATAAATTTTAGCTCTAAGATCTATACTGGAACTCCTCAGTGTTTGACCTGCTGACCGGTAGCTTCACATACATTTATATTATAAGTACTTTTTTGCAAATTTTGGCTCAGTAGAGCCCAGGGAAAGCCACTATCAGTGTTCACATCTATCCCACATGTTTGAGAATCATGCCTCAGTTTTTTAACGACTCCCAGCTTCACTTGTCTGCTGTGAGGGAAGAAAACTGAAGTTTTATACCTACACATTTAGATTACTGCACTGACTGCAAAGGCAGCATCCTTGCCAGAACAGATGCCCTCAAGACTGGCTCTTCTATTGCTCTGAAATCTAGTTACCCTGAAAGTTTGTGGAGCAAGGATGACTAGCAGTTGTCGGGAATCAAGGGTGCTAGCTTGTCTTGGGGAGCTTCTCTGTAGAATCTTTCTTTTTTCAAGGGATGCTGTGCGAGGATTACAAAAGTAGTCACATTTGAAAATTGCTTGCTGGAGAGATCAAGACAGCTGGAGGGATATGGCGATTTGTTTTGCCCCATGCCTCTATGCCTTTAGCCAGAGCATGCAACAGTTGTCAAAAATTAAAGCAAGGAGTCCCTATATGGCCTCCCCATCTACACAGGGTAATCTCCATTCCCTTCCCAGCTAAGATCCAGTCAGTTGCCATTCTGAGAAAGATCACAAGCTGTTTCTGGGACAAGGAAGGTAGAGAGCTGCCTGGCAAAACTACAGTTCTGTTGGCTGCTCTTTTTGGATTTCATCTTTTTCTAACTGGTCTGGAAGACTTGTTACAGCTCCACTTGGCTCACAGAAACGTAGGTAACAGCAGCTTCCCCTTCTCATGTTGTTCTTCACCTCTCCTATCAGTGCAGTCTCCACCTCTTAAAGAGCCCTGCCAGACTTCTGCTGTGATTAGATTCTCCTACACATCACTGAGGTGGCCAATGACTGCGGGCTGGCTCTCTCCATCATTGATTCAATCTTGCCTCTTGCCAAACTGGCTTCTGCAGCCAAGGAACAGGAACTGCATAGACTATTATTCCTGGCAGGAGGAACAGCATCTCTGTGGAAAAGGACGCGCAAGAGAATCACAAAAGTGTTCTTTAAAAACATAACTTGTGAAACTCTGACAGGGGCTGGATGACATGCTTGCTAAGGTACCCAAAGTAACGAAGTGTTGAATTTACAGGTGCCCAGTGCTTAGAACTAGAGACTAATATAGGTTTGAAGGGACCTCTGGAGATCATCTGGTTTAGCCCTGCTCTACAGGTGTGGCCAACCTCAAAGTTACATTAAGTTGCTGAGGGTTAGGGAATGAAAAAACATCATGGAAATAGTTAAGGCTAGGCTTGAGGCAGGTTATGATTATGAAACTTTCGTAATATACATCACCCAGTTTCAAACTCAGGTTAAGTGGGACTGTAGGAACAACCATCACCTTGGAGTAGCTCAGTTACCGTAGCTCTCATATGCATTCAACAAGCCATGCCTGTCTCCTCCTACCGCATAATATTTGTAAAGTTACTCCATCAAAACAAAGCCCTTTATAAACAATTTATGATGTATTCTGGGAACAAAAAAGTTCTTTGGAAGACCTACTTGAGTTATTGATGAAGTTTTTATGGTAAGTGATGTATTTGGGGGCTGGTTTTTTTAAGCATACAGAGTTTCCATTCTTTTTGTACTTTTGCAGTGTTTTTGGATATTTGGTGATTTGCAAGGGAAGTGCAATGCAGATCATTTGCATCCAACAAAAGACAGACACATGTAAACATGTGTCAAGGGAAAAGGTAGTTACAGTAGCATGTTCTCTGCAGATTCTGCATGCAATGCTTTCCAAAGAGGTTCATAAGCACTCTTCCTGCCGCACGGTGGCATGACAATTAGCATTTTATTCATTGTTCAGTGCTGTCTTGCATATTTCTTCCCCCAGCTTTTACAAGCCAAAAACCAAATTAGAATCTGGTTTCAGACTGCCTTGAATTAATCTGAAGCTATAAAACAAAGAGACCGCTCGGAGAAACAGCATTTAGGTAAGCAAATGGGATTTCCAAGCCCATACAGTTTTTGTTGGCTAGTGTATATTAAAATGATAAACAGCAGCCAGCATTAAAAGAAAATGCTTTATAAGAGCAGTAAGTCGTGCTTTCAACAGTTTTAGGCAATTGAAAAAAATTTATTAAGAAGGAGACTAATTTTTAGGATGCACCTATAATTATCATAAGAGAATTTGCAGGGTCCAGTATCCGTCACAAAAATTTATTTTGTTAATTACAAAAAGCTTGCTATGCCCTGGGCAAGATTCTATATTTGGTTTAGAAGGAATACTTTGGTATAAAGTCAGAAAATGTTCGTCAATTTTGGCATATGACATTCAGAGTTTAAAGCCTCCTGCTAAATCAGTATTGCAACTTGATATGTATTTCCTTTTCTTCAGCATGGTATAGCTTCTGTCTTCCAGCACCCAGGTTGTGTAGAAAAATCACTTCACTTATCTGAACCCAGTTCCCATCCACAGGAAACACTGATCTGCAGAGCATTTTCCAAGTGTACTATTTCCTAGTAAGGCTAGAAGTAGAAAACCTGAAGTATGACAAAATAATTCCCAAGCGAAACAACTTCATTTAAAAATAAATCTTGAGATACTTACAGTATTCTAAAGCAGAAATACACCATCTGATTCATGTGATACAGATACAGATATGGCTCATTGCTTTTGGTTCACTGTCCACAGAAGAGAACAATTTTTGAAAACAATTCCAGCATTTTTGAAACATCACACTTGACCAGTAGGGCTTTCTCTTTCTGAATTTTAGAAAGCACTTTCTGAGATGCCTCTTGTCTCTGAATGAACCAGGAATACCCTGTTAGTGCACTACTGCTGTCGCCCCGCCCCAGCCCCTTAAGGGAAAAAGATTTTTGGTCACTCCGGCTTAACCATCGTTAACAATCAGATGTCCTTCTCAGAGAAGGAGCTCTGTACTTATTCACAAATAGCCCTTTTTAAATATGTGAGGTTAGATGTAGAAAATAACTCATTATGGCCCACCAAAGGGTCAATCCTTTAAATAACTGCACACATCTTACAAACATCTCAAAGGAAGAGCACATCCATTTGTTATTGTGAATACCACACTGGCATTTATGTAATGTTCATTGTCTCCGTGACCTTGAATCTCATCAAGTGTTTAAGTCTCTCCCAGAAGCAAGTGCTGAACAGTCAGGCTAATGGAGTACTTAAAAGTCGTATTAAGAAAAAAAAACAGAAGAAGGGAGGACAAGCACTTTCCCTCATCTTCTTTTGCTGCCATCCTGCTGGAATCTCCATCCTCTTTCAGTCTCATCCCATCTTTTCTTATTAGCAACTCTTTTCCAAAACACCCTATAGTCCAATTCAGAGGCTTTTGCCTTCCTTTCTGGCTTCATGTCTTCTTACTGCTCAGTTTCTGTCTGTGCAGGTGTGTCTCAATCTCTTGCTTGAAAACAAGCATCCCAAGCTGGCCGTGAGAAGCCTCATTCATGGCCTTGGACTGCATGCACATTTTGTACTGCTCTGGGGTCAGCTCGTCCAGACATTGCTTTTCGTGCCACAGATGGAAGAGACCCCTGACAGGCGTTCGGATCACGATGAGGTTGCTGTGAAGGTATTTGCGATACAGATGTACATCTTCACCACCCCAGCCTTTAATGTCCAGATCAAAGCCACCTGACACAAACAAAATCCAAAATAAAACTAAAAATATATACTAGCAAACTCGATGCTATTAATTGCACTACAGCTGTTCTCTGGCTCCAGTCAGCCCTTTAAAACAGCCATACTTTCTGCCAACATCAAAGCGTCCAAATTTCTTAGCTTCAAATCTTTCACTATCAGACAAAATTGCTTTATTTGTACTAAGCAGCGCTTAGATTCTGGTAGCCTCTATGGCATCTAGGAATAGTCTGAACATCTAACCAGAGCACTGCTGCAAATTAGAGGCATAGACACACTGGTCGAGGAAAGGGAAGCTGATCACAAGTTTCTATATTTCAGTAAAAAAGGCAGAAGTATTGGAGTGTATTTTTCTTACCTATGTTGATAAAATCAGATCTGTACTGGCAAGTCATCCCAAAACCAAAGTCTCTCCAAAATCCAGTTTCTTTTTTAATAATCTGCATGGAGGGAAAGGAATGTTTATACGGGAACAGAAATGCTTTCAGTGTGAGCAGCAGACAAGTCCCTGAATGTGGTCAGAAATGGGAGCAGCTGCCCTTTTATTCTTCCCCACATAAATCCATGGCCGATCCTGAACCAGTTTTTGTAGATACTCGTTGCATATTTCTGCCCCCAAAAAACCAGCCGTGTCATTAGCTATCATGGATAAACCCCCTGATCTGGAATGATCAGGTTTCGCTCCACCTGCTGTGGTAGACCAAGTGAAGCAATATCCCATCACTCTCTGGAGTTTGCTTCTTCACAGGCAAAACATTCTCCAAAATCGTTAGTTTCTGCAGGATACAAATCCAACGTAAGAAACATACTGGTCAACCAGGGAAGCCAGACTCTGCTGTAGAGCAGATGGTGGTATCTGGATTGTGGACCACAAGAGCTCTGGAAGAAAACAGTGGTTCTAATCTGATCGCACAACTGACAGATTTTTTATTACCTTAATTTTGACACAAATTAGGAAAGTGGTAAGAATAGTTTTCCATTACAGAACTGCTAAGTCCAGCTAAAATCGAAGTCCAGAAATGTTAGGTGGTAGATATATATCCCATAAAAGCCTTTGTAATAATGAATGTGCAGTCTACATTACTGAGATGAACCATGAAAAATTATGTATTACAGGTAGAAAATCAGAGCAGTGAGAAACCATGGCTATCATTTTCAGAAGCAGATATCCAAGTATAGATCCCTAAGGCCATAATTCATGTGTGTGAGTGATTTAACCCAATCTGGTGAGACATCCAAGAGTTTCAAGGAACTGGGACAGGTATTTAAAACCTCTGAGCATGTCAGCAGTACTTCACAGTCTTGAAGGTCTGGTTACAAACCTACCCCTTAGCAGCTATTTTTGAAAATTTTGGCTTCACTTGCGACAAAGTTACAGAAGATGAGGAGATAGAATTTCCATTTCTGGATTTACAAATCTCAGTGTTTCCTTTACCAAAAAATCCTCTTCCAAAATAGTCTCTCCTGATTTCTCGTTCATGCCTCCCCTTTTTGTTCATAACCCTTGTCACTTCAATGGCATTTTTTTATTTTACTGCTCGCGTTGCTAACTCTTTCTTTTTTCATTTCTCCTTTCCTTGAAAAAGCCAAGCCACTGCAGAAGCCAATTAAAAGGAAACAAGATTGTACCTGTCAGGTCTGCACTGTAACAAGAAATTTCCATAATGATGCACTTACAGCAAGCTACTCGTATGCATTAGCATTATTATTCCCCATTAGTGCAAGTGTCTGCTGCACAAATCAAATTCTTTCAAAGATTTCTGAAGGCTTTTTTTTCTCAGCAGCCTGAGTACCAGGACAGAGAGCTAACACTGTCTTGTTTTAATGGCACAGATCTGTCCTCATGCCTGAGAACTAATGTGGGCTGAAAATATAAAAATCTACATAAAAATGAGATTGGCAGTACTTCTGTAAATCAAGAAGCTTTTCTGACATAAGCATCACATTTTACGATTCAAATATTAGCTATAAATATTTGCACAACCCTGACAACGTATTTTGTGGAATTTATGCTAGCTTGAGAGCTAAACTCTATTTCATTTCCTAAGCACAGTGTTTACAAGCCTGAGGATCCCTGACAGGCTCTTATCAGAGAGAGAAGAGCTAACGTGAATCCTGTGGTATTATCAGAACAAGTTTCCTCTGAGAAAAAAAACAGTGGAAAAGATTTTCCAGACTCTTCAGTAAAAGACTTTCTGGCTACCTGTTGGATAACACAGGGAGCAGTAGCCAAAAAAAAATTTTAAAATATTTTGGGTGGACTTTTCAAACTGTCGTTCTTCATTTTTCTAGAGGGATTGCACGAGGTGGGGGTAGTGATGACAGAAGACTGGACTCAGACCCCTAGTGATCTTCTTCAGTTGTGACTGTTGCTGGGCTCACAACACCCCTAATTCTTACCTACCAAGAACAACAATAGAAGCTGGGGTGCTCTGGAGAGAGTGTCCAGCCTGGGACAGGATGAGCCCTGATAGGTGCAGTGCCTGGCAGTAAGAGGGGCAGCTGTGGCAGGCTGGGACCTGACCCAGAGAAACTGAATGAAGCTGCATAGCTGGCTTATGCTTCAATTTAAACATTCAGCCACTTACCAGCACTAGTGAGACTGTGACCCACTGACTCTGGAGAGAAGCAAGAGTGGAGGGTGTACATAAAGGGAAAGCCACCACTTCTATCACCCCTTTAGCTTCAAGACAATGCAATGCCTGACCACAAGAGAATGGAGAATAGCATCTGCAGCAGTGCCAAGCAATGGCTCTGCCACTAGCATTCATGTGAATCTCTTGTCTGTGTGCTCTGCTTCTTCCTCACAACAGCTTCCTCCTCGTCAAGGAGATTCACCTAGGTTTAACTACATGTTTTAATCGTATGCCTTGTGGCAATGTTTTTAAAAATAATGCTTTGTTCTCACACCAAAGATAAGCAGGTGAGATGGAAATCAGTGGAGTTATGCTGTGTTATATCAGTGCCAGATTAAATCCAGAAGGGACAGCTCCAAGCATGTCATTTGACTCAGACAACATGGTACACTTCAGGAACACACTGTCTGCTTGCAGGCACTTTAATCGTGAACTGTGGGATGGGAAAAGCCACTGTTAGGTATTAAAGTAAGTGGGCGAATAACTGTGACAGCCCCTGGAATACTGTTTTCACTGACTCATCTAAGGATATCTATGCTTTTTACAAATGTCAGCTCTTCAAGATGCAAGCAAATAAACTATTCAGTGCAAGGAAGAAATGAGAGCAAGATCAGGGACTGTCACCCCAAGACAGCACACCATGGAGGAATTGTTCGCTAATTAGAAAATCCCTTGTGGCAGAGAAGCAGACACGGTTTAAATTCTTAGGTTCCATGTATAAAACATCAAACAAGGGTTAAAAAAAATGGTACCAAGATACTTCCCTGTGAAACTTAACTGCAGAACTCACAGTAAGGCGACTGCTGTACTTAATTTTGTCTGTGTGGTGGTCACTGTGCACAAGGAATAAGGAAATGCTACCCAAGAGCACATGCACCTTTAAAAAATGCTTTGTCCAAATAAAAGCAGGCATTCAGAGAAGCATGTACTTACCAGCTGCTGTTCTAAAGATGGGATGGAATCATGGTGGCCATAAATTATACTGGGGTTATACTGGCTGAAGAGAACAGGATAAAACACCTTCTTCCCTGGAAATGACAATGGGTTGTTGTTTTTTTTTTAAAGCTGTATAAACCATCCTTCTCTCTCTTACAAGAGGCTGTCCAGGCCAGACCAAATCCAGACAAAGTCACACAAGTTTTGGCCTAAGCCTATGTTCTTTGCATGAGAATGTGATTGTGAGGATATAATTAACAAAAAGATCCTGTTCCAGAAAGCACAGGTGCTGAAGGCAAGAAATTCAATCACAGTGGGCGCAGGAATGGTATAACCTTTCAAAAGCCAACCAGCAATGGAATTTTTATACACGTCTTAGTGAGTTCTCTAAGTTTCAAGAATGATTTACAGCAGCTTCATTACCAATTCAAAGGCAAGAATACTCTTACAAAATAGGTAAAAATCTGTTGAAAGACAATACACTTCATGAGTAGCAGTACCTGGCTGTGTGTTCAATCTACAGGAGTTCAGGAATTCAGCTGTGAAGTATATATCCACATCGCAAAAAAAGAGAACAACATTGTTTCCTTTCCAGAATCGAGCACCAACGTCTAATCCTTTGCCCCTGGAAAATTCTTCATTCAACTGGATGAAGGTGAAGTTCTTGAAGTTGGCTGACCTAGGAGAAGGAAAATATTCAGCAACTTACCCTGTCTTTCCAGCTCTTAATACAAGTGGGGGCAGGAACCCAATATGAAACAATTAACCTAGAAATCTGTAGTATCACAGTTCTGAGAGCAGTCTGAGGGAAGAGATGTCCTCTTTGAGTCTTGAGGAGATTTCCACTATGTCTACATTCAGAGCTTGACCTTTGTACTCCTACGCTAGCATTCCTGTCACAGACATTCTTTGGGCAGACCTAACAAAAATCCCAACAAGGCTTAGACGGACAAAAATATCTTTGGTAAGCAAATATAAAATACCTGTGGTCATATTACTGTATCTATACAAGGGTCTTCTTCCCACATGGAGATGATAACAAAAGGCTACACTGCCACATGATCTTGACAAACACAGCTATGCAAGCAAACACAATAGACCAGACCTGGCCAAAAGCATCAGTTCCTGTGTGCTCTACTGAAATTGTCTGCACCTACCTTTGGAAGTCAACTTTCAGTCCTACCAGTTAAAGCCATTTTCAAATGCACTAAAGAAGTTACCAGTGTGAAAAAAAAAGCTGCACTGAGGTAAATTGAGTAACAACTGCTTTGTGGTTCTAAAAACCAACATCACAAAACCATAGATTGGGGTCTGTCGGGGTAACACCGTTTTTATCTGATACAAGGGAAAGCAAGCCATTTTCTCCAATGCAGTTTAGAACTTTCTGGCACAACTATGAGTTTGGACAGCTATCTAGTCTCCAATTCATGGTACGATCGCTGTGTATGAACAGCACACATCAGATATTCAGGTACTTACTTGGAGGTATTTTCAAGTATTGATTTGACTTCATTCATTTGTTCTTTTCCAAAGTAAACTACAGTGAGGTGAATTCGCCCATCCTGCTGAAAAAAAATAGAGAACAGAGACAGATTTGTGACTTGTCCCAGAAGTTAGCTTTCAATAATCCACACCCACTGGGGAAGGCAGAGTAGGGTGAACCTTGGAAGGCATTCCGGAGGGCACGATTCACTGAGAGATCCTTGTCCTGACAAAGGGGCTCACTGCCTCTGTCAGATGGGACAGAAGACTATCTTTCAGGCAGATTAAGAAAAACTCTCTAAGCAGTGTTTGTTATATTAATAGGAGGGCACTATTAAAACAGGCCATCCAGCCCCAGGAAGAATGATCAGGCAGGCAAGAACTCCAGCACTCATGAGAATATGAGAAGGGGGATTTTAAGAAGCTATATGTACCCTACCTCTTAACCTTGATTTTTTGTAACAGATATTCCAGAGTCCAGATCTTTGGCATTTTGTTAAGAAATATTTACTAAAATCTAAGTATCAACCAGAGATCAAGCCAGTAGCCTAAGGGTAGGACCAATCTGAACTAATGCTAGACCTCATACCTCACTTGCACAAAGTTTAGCCAGCAAGAGTTCATCTATAATCAGCAGACAGATCAACATGACCAGAGGGCGATTTCTCCCATCCTAAAACAAGCATCTATCAGACGGCTAATTTAGACAAGGAGCCTATTTTTAGATGGCTGTAATTAGGCAAAACAAATCCCATTGTAAGAGTCAGTATCTGTTGCTAACACAGTCTTTTCTGGGCAGCTATTTAAAGCTACATCTCAATTAAATTCTCCCTCCAAACATAATCTCTGTGCTGAAAAATAGAAGAAGTTTAAAAGTAACTATCCTGAAAGTTCAAATACATTTCCTTCTTGCCTCTTACTGCCTTAATCTTTTCTCTAATAGGGCCTGGTAAAGTGTCTGAGAGCACTAATTCCTTTTTTCCTTAGAAATGTTCCTTTGCAACTAATGGCATGAAATTCTCACGTTGCCATAGTCGCGTGTACCCCAAAAAAACAGATTGAGACACATAAGCCGGCTACATACAAATCAGAAACCCTGATGACTGGAATATAATTGCTTTTACTGCTAATCACAATGCATTAAGCAGCCAAATACCTTTCAGTCTCTATAATCTCCAAAATTACTTCTTAGTGGCACAATGAAATGTTATATAAAAGTAGCATGATTTTTGCCTAGTGAGGCCTTGATAACTCCTGAAATTGCATCTTGCTTTCCAAGTAAGAAAAAGCACAGGCAGCACTGGAATGGAAACCCACCTGAAATTCTGCATGAATTGCCGAAATTTGCTGGCTCTCTTGGCCAATGGCACAATGACATTAATAAGTGTGTCAGCCATATTGACATTTTCATTTTTTACTTTCATTACAGGACCGAATGGCCGGAATAAAACAATCTTCTTGAACTGATGTTTTGTGTCTCCTTTGAAAGTCAGCTCATACAATGTGCCTTTGTCTTTCTCTGTGCGGTAGATCCCTGCGTGAAAACAAAAGAGAGGAGATTTTGGATTAAAGCTGGGCTCCTGGGGGAAAAAAAAGGATGCGATCTTCGTGTGTTACACCTAAGCTGAAAAGGCAGCAGAGGCATGATATATTTACTTTTAAATCAGTATGCAATCCACCACGGTTTGGAGGAGGCTGTCACTCTGGCAGGGACACAGCCCTGGGCTGCAGGAGCTATTTGGTATTCTCACAGGCACATTCCTAGGCTTGGCTGAGTTACAAACCCCTGAAGGTTACCAATTGCTCACACTCAGTATAACCCAGCAGACATACTCTCCTTATTTTTCAGACTGCTCCAACTGCACACTGCAGGCATGCATGGTAATGGTGATGCAGAGAGACTGCGAAAGGCAGCCTGCCTCTCTGCAATATGTGGCCAGCTCTCACAAAAGCAACTTCCTGATGAGCACATTCATTTCCTCCTTTCTGGGAGGTTCTCTGGGAAGTCCCCTAATAAAACTATGCAACCAGGCCCCAGCAGCCATCAACTTCACCCACTACCAATCAGGACAAAACTCTGCTGTTACTCAACTCTCAAGAGACTTTTATTTTCTTTGTGGCAATGATGCCCACTCCTGGGCAAGTAATGGTCTGCAAGGATGACACTATGGAATTTGTCAGAGGCTAGACCCATGACACAATCCTTGAGACTGCATTAGACAGTCTCCAAGGATATTTAATTCATACAAGCTTGTACTTATTGCTGGTATGGAATGAACTTTCAACATACTTTTATAGTTCATAGAAGTATAGTTCACTATACTTTTGGTCCCATGCTGAGGGCTAGCATGAACTATAAAAGTATTGGTCATGCCCCACTGAAACACTATTCCGATACCTTAAATGAGATAAAGTTGACAAAAAGGCTATAGATTTTACCCACTCTAAATGACACTTTAGTCCCTACAGTGCATACTGAAATAAAGTTTCTTCAGAGATGTATCTGTTAGATTTAAGAAGGAATAATTAAATGCTAATTCTAACTACTTGTTAAGCCACTGTAAATATCCTAAAACTTCATCAGTAGGAGAGTATAATTGCATTGCCTTCCATCTCTTGCAGAAACTCAGGAGACAAGCAAAACATGTCTGGAAGAAAACTCCTCCGCTTGACTTGTTTCTTCTTTTTTTATCTCCCCATCTGGTTATGAAGAACAGCTTGACCAAAATAATGCTTTTTTTTTTTAATCTTAGTCATTCCCTGATGTGTAACATTGCTGTGCAGCCAACCCATAGACTGTCAGCTCTGTCTGTATTTCTTTTGAAGGTCTGGGTCAAAAGTTTCTTTGAACAGCAAAGTGACATAAGCTCTTCATCTTGTATTGTAGCTTTTACATTCATTGGTATGTTCAGAACATCCAAAAGATTAACGAGGTGTGATTTTATCTGGCCAGAGTTCTGTGGACTGTCTTATATTCACTATCATCGTGTAAGTGTTTCATTCTTAATGAACACTTCAGTTGGTTAATACTATATGCAGATTTACTGATCTATTATTCACTTCATGTTTTATTTTTAATACAAGCTGATTCAACAAATGCTCCAATCCTCCCTCCAGCATAGCAGATGAATCCAGTGAGAAAGCAGCTCCATCCTTCTTTTACTACTAATCTTTTAAAGCTGTGCCCTAGACTCTCCCTAGCTTTTTCTATACAGTCTGCCCAAGGTGCAAACCATGAACTACATCTATTATTGAACTTGAGATCATCTGAATGGTGACCTAATAGTCCCTGCATTTCCACCTCCTGGTGGCCAGAGAATGGAAATCTGGGCCTTTGAATTCTGCTCTCCTATTTATTCTTACAGAAAAACTGCTGATGATCCAAGTGTGTTGCTGGATGCACACATTTACTTCGGTAGTTTTTAAATACACGTCTTGCCAAGGAATTTTGTGTGGTGGAAGGTTAAGGTAGCCTTTAGACATTATGCTTTCCCACAGCATTCTTCTAGAGAAGCTGGC